TAGGATCAGACTGACAGAAAAATCACTCAATAAATCTATCTAGGCAATCGGTGCTGCTGGCATCAAACTAATGGCCAATTTCTAGCCTCGGTCTCATCTTCAGTGGTTTTCTTTCTGTTTGTTTACAGTGTCTCTGACTGTGCAACAACAGAACAGCAACCTTTGCACAAATAATTCCATTACATAAGGTGAGTAATTGCCCCGGATGTGGAAGACAACTGTCCGCTGCTCGCCTGCTGAGCCCACTGCTCCGATGTCCTTGGATTTAAATGTAACTCTGCGGGATACATGGGACCTGACGGTAAGAGGTCTGCTCAGGAACTAGAGGAGAGGGAGAGGAGACGGGGGAGACGAAAAAAAAAATATATGGACGGACAGCTGTGAGCCACAGCCAGGTAGGGTTAGAGTGGTACATCCTCCTCCCCCTAGTTTGGCTGTGGTATGTCACGTACCACAAAACATTCTCTGGGGGTATCTTGTAACGTGGTGAGAGCACTGCACAATTTCTCTTGGTGTCTCCTTCTCAAAAGTGAAGGTGCGCAGTCATAAAGTGCAGGTTGCAGCTGTAACCAGGAATAAATGGAAGGTGAGTAACTAGTTCCTTCCACTGCGGGATTTTTTTTTTTTTCTCCCCCTCTTTATTTCCTCCACCGGCAGCTTTGTTCGCAACAGAACTGATGAAATGGACTGGGCACAAAAATAACTAGCTGTACACGCCCTCCCCTCCGCTTTATTCAAAATTTTTCATATGGACGACGGGTAGTGGACTATAGAGAGTCAGAGAGGAGAAGGCAATTACTGATACTTGCTGCCAGCGATCAGAAAGAAGTGGTGGAGAGAAACAAAGAGACAAGTTCCACTCCTACGTTGTTAATTAGAATCCCTCTGCCTCAGCGTTGTGCTGAGTGAATTAGAAGCAGTGACAGGATAAAACAAGAAGGAAAAAAAATATAGTGATGTCTTTATTCTTAGCAAGCTAGCTTTTTATAAAAAAAAATAAATAAATAATTGCTGTTATGCATTGGAAAGGATTGTGAATTGTATCCTAATATCTCTAGCAATAGTTGGAGGCTGACGCGTGTGTGCTTGTGTTTGTGTGTTTGTGTTAAGGGCGGAGTAAGGAATAAAATGCAGAAAGTGGACGAAAATAAGAAGAAAGCTGGTTTCATGCTTAGGGGATTGCATATCTTTTTTTTTTTTTTTTTTTCTTTCAGCACACAGCTTGTGTGCGTTCCTGGTCATGCAGCTACTGCCCCCTGGTGTTATTTGCAAGCACAGCAACGTTTTCCATTTGCCATCTGCCATCAGATTAGGTCAATCCAGGAGAAGGAAAACAAACACTTCCAAACTACACCCAGTGTTTATCTCCTATCTTCTATGCCACTGCTTTTTATATGGGAAATGAGTGTATCTCAAAACAGACTAACTCCAGTCAAGAATTCCATTATATGGTTTGACAGTCCAGTCAGCCATAATTAAAGATGTATTTCCACGCCGAGAAACAAGAGAATTAAGACTTCAACGTCAAGTGGATGTTAAAAAAAATAGTGTTTCAAGGTAAAACACAAGTGTGTTGATGTAAAATCAATGAAACGTCTCTCTGCTTTATCATAAACTGCAACAAGAGTTGATTTCGTTACAACCCCCGCCGACAGCACTTCAAATATTTATCAGGCACTCAAACAACTATGCCAGTTCAAACTGAAGAGAAATAGAGAAAAAAAAACAACAAATAAAATATTCATTTTGAGGGATATGAATTCATATGGAGTCAGAACCGCCTCCAAACTGACTCCACCACCTCATTAGTCCAACCCAGCAGCAGTTTGCCCCTTCTATTAACCGCTAAATGAAAGACCGACAGCCGTGATGACTGGAGGAAGTTTCCTGTTGTCATGGGGATTACAGATACCAACACTGAGACACACAAGCAAAAATCACACTCCAGCTTCTAGAAAAGCCAAATGAAGGGGCAATTTACGAAAAAAAAAACAAACAATTGAGTCAGAAGTGCATATATTCACAAATCAGTCACAGCGGTTCGGCCAAAGCTTTAAATGCCAAAAATAAGACAGAAAGAAATGCTAATCTGATCGGTGAATTGCCTGCACTGCAGCAAAGGAAGAAGAAAAAACACCCACAAAAATGGCCAACTCCAGCTGCTGTCACATTTAAAGGGAAGTATTAAGCTTTGAGCTTCACTGTCATGCCGCAGATTTGACAAAGGAATACATTGCAGATGAGGTTAACAGCCCCACAATCCCTTTAGTCAAGGGCATTAGACTCACTTTTTATTCTATACTATGTCTGTCATACAGAAAAGGATGTGGTGTGAGTACAGGCCATCAAAGGTTGTAGTATTACCCGGAAGCGAATAGATGTACAAATACTAGTATTCACAGACTTCTTTTCTAATATATAAAAAAAACTCCATCTCTCAAACCCATCATCCAGTGCAGATAAAACCAATGATTTCAGTACTCACGGTCGTTACAGTGGGTCCCAGAATACGACGTCATGGTGCAGTCACAGGTGAAGTTCTCCCACTGCTGGATGCACACACCCATGTTGGCACAGGAGTCCTCTTGGCAAGTGGTACTGGGCCCTGAGAGAACCAGAGACGGAGGTACATGGTCACACCACAGACACATCTCAGCCAGGCCTAAGTAATACAGAACACATGCACAGGAAATGCAACACCAGAAACAGTGACGGACAGAATATGAGCCTAGAGCCAAGAACGAGGGGAAACAGTGCCACCACATCAGACCCACAACTGGACGTCAACATATTCAAGCCCCCTTAATGCTGGCTCATAAATACCACCCTTGGGATTTATGTACTATGGTAGTGACAAAAAATAAATAAAAATAAATAAAAATAAATAATAATAATAATAATAATAATAATAATAAATAAAAATAATAATAAATAAAAATAATAATAATAATAAAGACAGGAAGATGACCATTCTCTATCAGTTGCAATATCTGTTATTTTTCCCCATTTACATTTAAGTCAATAAACTGCGGCTAAAGTCAGCTCCAGTTGGCTGATGTAATGGCACGGTCAGCTTCCCTTTGTCTGCTTCTGTTTCAGACTGCGTGGAGAAGAACTGGCATGCATCTTTCCATCATCATACCACATGTTTGGAGCAAGTTTTAGCAGGGTAAAACTTCGAGCGCTGCATTCCTCTGATGAATTGCAAGTCAAGACCACTTGTTACACGAAGACTCACATAAACCACATATACATACTGGAAAAAACAAATGAAGAAATGCATAGAAAAAATAGAAAGAAAATAATAATAATAAAAAACCCCAACGTTGCATTTAACATTTCAAACAGCCATGTAAAGACAATGAATAATCAACAAACAGACTTCAGGACTGCAGACGAGAAGAGAAATACCGAAGAGTATTCGAGAACACGTACAGCATATCCTCAGAGGGGGGGGGGGGCATGGGGGGGGGGGTATTCAAAGTCTCTATGTGTGTTTGTTATGCAGCTACACCACACATACTGTAGCTCTCTGGTTTGAATACTTTGACCAAGAGGCAGATGAAAAGATATCTAATCCTCGAGTCGAGTCGAGAGAGATGAGGAGGGAGGGGGCGACGACACGGAGTATAATCAAAATCAAATGAAGGAAAATTAAACTAACAGTCCAAGTACATGACAGACAAATGCAAGTAAACAGTGTAAAGAGAGTAATTGCCTTGTGCAAGACAGTGTGACGAGAGAGAGAACGAGAGCGAGAGACACTTAAAGAGTTTGCCAGCTGAAAGTGTATGTACTGGGTAACGTACATCTTGGTTATCACCACGGTATGTAAAGACACATCGTTTTGGTACTTTTTCAGTCTGAGTCTTTTTGAGGCTGTTTACTCTCTGAAAAAAAAAAAGAAATTGCTCTTCTGACAAAGCAACACGTATTACATAACAGAAAAGGCCTGTTTTGTCAGCAGTATGCTAGCAGTGTTTTAATGATTCCCGAGAGGCGTTTGTATTAATAGCTTTGTATTCTTGCTCTCTTTGTCTGTTGTCAAGTTCCCTGCAAATTACCACCAACCCTGCAGAGTAAGACTGAACAAAAAGAATTGTGCTCTTCTACATGTGTTTATCTGAGAACTCCATGAACGCCTGTGGCTGCAGGGACGGTGCAAAACAGACATGAAATGATAATCTTTAATTTTCTATGATAAAATATTCATTCCGTGTTGTTTTTTTTTTTTTTGTATACCAGTATATAATAATCATTTATTGGTATTTACTGTTTGTTTTTTTTTTCAGAGAGTGAATCAACCACTGCTTCAACTGGAGCTACACTATATCGCCATGGTGACACCACTGATGCACTGCACACAGCAGACTTTCAGGCAAGCAGGCCTCCGGAAGGCGGAGTTCAACCCTCTACCTTGCAGGTCAGCTTTGGTGAAACCAACTTTGTTAGCGAAAAGGAAACATAACAGAACAGAACAGAGCGGAAAGGAGTCAAGGTTAGTGAGTATCCAGCATTGTCAGAGGGTTTACACCTGCTGTTGACTTACAGTATTTGCACACGGTTTCTGTATAGAGGCAGCAGTGTTAGTGTAATTGTTTCCTTAGGGCCTGCTGCCCTCTACAGGACGAAATTCATCTTACACATGCTCAGACGTGGCAAATGGAAGTTGTTGACAAGTTAATAATTAGTACTGATCCTATGAAGAGACATTTTAAGAACTTACTACATGCTCAGACGTGGCAAATGGAAGTTAATAATTAGTACTGATTCTATGAAGAGAAATTTTAAGACATTACATATCACCTGATTTTATTTTAATTTTATCGTGATTATTCACACCTATTTTTAAAATGAATTCGTTTTACCACCAATATAATATATGTTTAAGACAAAGTTTTGATGATGTAAGCCCAGCGGCTTAAAGGTCAACTGAGAAACCTTCTAATTAGACTAATAAATCTTAGGGGGCAGGTCGTGACTCTTCTACGCCACAGGGCATCTGTACCTTCGCAGCCTCGCTCAATCTGCCCGCTCCGAAAAAGAGCGTCATTGATGAGATCTGGCAGGCGGCCATTAAGGTCGACGGACGCCAAACAGCCCTGGAAGCCCTCCCGAGAAACCACCAGCTTTGGGAGGTTTTGGTACATGTTGGGTCCCAGACCTCCAATGAACAGGTCACCTTAAAGTAGAAGAGAGGAAGAGAGGTAGAGGCAAATGAGTATTAATGAAGTGCTGCAATGGGTGAGTTGATTAAAGGGTTATTTAAAGATTAATAACCATTTGGACAAAGTCAATGTGTCTTTGTATTTTTTTTTTGTTTTTTTGTTTCAGGGTTTAAATATCACTCATACACAAGAAAGAAAGAAACAAAAAGGCAAACCATGCCATACCATACATTACAATATAACAGAAATGAAAACATGGCCATTACGATTCTCAATGTGTTGTTTACCTTTAAGGTCGAGGTTCTTGGCACCGTTAACATTCTGGGTGACTGACTTTGAGTCCACCTTAAGAGTGTGAGTGTTGGAACCATCACGTGTAATGACCACATTGTGCCACTGGTTATCATTTAGCTGGTTGTCACTGTTGCCCTTCAGCAGACTTGGACCATTCCCCAGGTCAAAGACGTAGTGGATGAACCTACAGTAACAGAGAAGGAGCGGCAGATAACCTCACTTAACATGGGACCTTCAATTAGTATAGATAAAGCAAACACCAAGCAGTGACATCACGACTCTGTTACTCACCCTTTGACCAGTTCCACAGCGATGAAGTCGTTTCCATCTCCACTGTTGAAGATGAGGAAACCATCAGGTGATGTGGTTTTGAACTGAAAGAACAGGTGCATTGTGGAGTACGCCTGCAGAGTAGCCAAGCCCAGGTAACTGCCCTTCGTCTTGAAGGTTATAGGGTCAGCGATGATGAACCGCATGCCGAAACGCGCGTTCAGTTCACAGAAGTCGATGTCGCCGTTTTTGCACATGTCAATGTACTGCATGCCGTTAAACTTCAGGCCCTGTGGGGAGGATGGAACAGATATAGGTGAGGAAACTGGGCTCTAGCATTTAGCTCATATGCATTTTGATTCAAATTGATCAAACTATCACTGCAACAGTTGAACATGATCCAATAACATATGGCTTAGAAGATCTAGATGGAGAAACGCTCCGTCTCGTACCCAGTTTTGCCCCACATACCTGAAGATGGCCAATAAAGGAGGAGGGAGCCGAGGAGACAAATCGCCTCTCTGTCAAAATGCCCGTCTCCACGTTGTTGAATTCCAGACGGGTGTGGTCACCTGCCATTTTGCCTAAGGAGGAGGAAGAAGAAAGGAAAAGAAGAGGAGGGATAAAGGGATTGAGGAAAAGGAAGGACACTCAACCTGGTCCTATAACTGCTGTGGAAGTGTTGTAAAAGTTTGTCTTATGAACACAGTTCAATGTTGAAGTCAAACGTCCAAATCACACATCTAAACCTAGAATTATTATACAGTCACTGACAGAGGACGAAAACAGGAGAAACAACAACGTACAGTGACAGAGCAGCTCAGCAGTTTACAAGCTAAAGTACCTTCAGCCATGTCGTCATCCACTGTGAGTTTGAAGTGTTTACCGCGGCGTACCACTCGCACCGAGTGCCAGTTGTTGTCGTTGAGTTTTTGTCCGGCATAAAGAACCTCAGGACCCTTGCCTGAAGAGGAGGTTTAGTTAGTGGAGGCACGAGCGGACATAAAACACACAAACCGTGTTCTCTAAAGATCCTACATTGTTACTAAATCTACACTAAATACTGTATATAATGAATATGTGTAAATACATACATATATAAATATTTTTTAACATTATTTTTCATGCATTATTTTCTACAACTTGGTTAATTCAGGTACAATAGAAATAATATCTCACAATTAAAGACAATTGAAACATATGTATTAAATGTTAAATTAGATTGGATTGAATATTATTGAACTCTATAGAAACGTGAAAAAGATCATACTGCTCCCCCTACTGACGTGTACCCTGACTAGATTTTTAATAATAATAAAAAAAATGCTAATAATTTCAAGAGTTTACTTCACAGAATGACGTCACCTTCCTGTCAGTGAACTCTGTGATTCTTATAAATAACCACAAGAGGGCAATCAGGTTACACAATATAACCAGCAGGCCATACAGCAGCCATTACTAAGTGTAATATAAAACTCGTTTTGGTCCAAGAGGTTTTGAATGTCTATGAAGAAACTTACATAAAACATTTAACATCCAACATAATTTTAACAGCACAGCTAAAAAAATAAAAAATAAAAATAGAAATATCGCTATGGCGTCTATTAAAGACATTCCATGAATATTTTTTTTTTTTCTTTTTGGATTTTAACCCTTTATGGTATACTTAAAATGACTTCTGTCTACATCTAAATTTGGCCTCTTAGGTGAAGAAAATGTAATTTGGGAAACTGAATACATCACCTTCCCTGTGACACTTTCTCTGACACTTGCTGCAACAGTGTTAACAACAGCTCGTCTGCTAAAACCATCTGTTTATCACAGGTACATAGTTGAACTGCAGTATGCTTAATAAGACAAAAAGACCAGAAACTATTTTTTGGACTGTAGCGGTGAAAACAACAGAGCCTTGAGAGTAGCTGCAGGCACTCTGAGAGAGATAAGGAATCTGAAGTCTGAATTAATTTGGAAAATAGGCCTTTTAGAGTCTACCGAGTACGTTAAGTCTGATTAGCATAACTTTGATCCATGGTTATTACTTTTCTTTCTTATCTTAGGAATCCTCTTATCAGCCCCCCTCGTTCACACACCCCTGCCTTTACATTAAGCACACAGGCTAGTCAAACATCGACTGAAGAAGGAAAAAAAAAAAAAGGCTGCAGAAGAAGAATGTTGACTTACTGGTGTTACAGTTTATCCTGACACAGTCTAGATGGGGAGGGGAGAATAAATGACAGATGAAATTGCATCCTTCAAGGTTATAGCTGCAGACATCCAACAGTAAGAAAAACCACCTTCCGGGGACGGTCACATGACGCCACTGCCATTGTTGCCTTGTTGGCTACTTCGATGACTTCTCAGTCTTTGAGTTAGTTGGGAGTTTAGTTATGTGACAAACAGCAAATCAAAGGCCACATAAATAATGCATCAGTTGGTAATAATGTAAGATTAAACATGTTTGTGTCAGATTGAGTCTTGAAATCAATGTGACCGGGCCGCTCATGTGCCGTCAACCGCTGCAGAAAAGTGGGAGCAAACTGCCTGGAGCCAATCAGCACCAACACCATACAGAGGCCTCAAGGTCCCGGCTCAGAGGATCCAATCAGAGCCAAGGAAAACTGTGGTCCCATTAGTTTAACGACAAGCAAAACTCATGTAGAAATATAACTATGGATATAGACGTTGCAGTACTCTGTTGTATGAGGTACAGTATCAAGTACTGTTACTTGCTGTACTTCATTTTTATTATTAATCCAACAACTTTTTTTTTTACCAAAGGTATCTATTTTTGTCTTCCCTGGGTCAAAGATCTGGGCTCTAGTTAATCCCACCCTCCCCCACTGTTGCCATCTGTAAACCTGCTGTGTGCTGTGGCATCGGGCCGTTTGCCAGATGGGCCGCAGGCTCGGGGCCTTTGAAGGGGTGAATGCCATCTTTGAACAAGGCATTAGAAATGCCAGCTAGACCCACGTTTTTACTGACACTGAGCACCATGAAGAAAACAATAAAAAAAAAAAAAAAAAAGGACAGAAGAACAAGCCATGTTAGAAGAAGACATATGATCAGAGCAGCGGGTTGATGTATCAGTGCTTACCTGAAATTCATAACCAATCACTACAATTTCACTGACGTGTGTCCAAAATATAAAAGTATAAGATAATGAGTGATGACTACAATGATATGTTATGTTATGTGTTCAAAAGATGTACTGCAGAGCACGGATAGATTTTACGGATAGATGTTAGATTTAGAAATAATAGAACCTATGACATCTAAGCATCAAGGCAGAAAATTCAAGCAAGTCTAAGACAGGACATGCAGCTACACAGACAAACTGAAAAAAAAAATCAATGTTAATACATGTTAGAACACAAATATAAATGAACAGTTAAAAGAGTAAGGCCTTGTCTTAAGGTGGAGTGGACGCCAGCCAATTGAGACGGTTATACAATACCTAGATTGACAGTCAGTTTGACCCGCCCACTGTCCAGCTCCAGCCTTAATGTGTCTGCTGATTCTCTGGAGGCGGCGGCCATGAGCAAACCAAAGGCCCGCTGGGACATGAAACGAAGGGAGACATCTTCTGCTTCACTGTGCATGATGTTTGGCATCGACACCTTCATGTACATGCTGCCGTCGAAGGACAAGATGGACGACTCTGTGAAAACAGCAGGAAGAAATGTTAATAATAATAATAATAATACAAGACCACCAAACACATTTTGCATCACAACCCAGCAGGTGGCAGGCAAGTGACAAGTTATCACGTAATTCTTTACCAAAGTTGCAAGTTCTTTTTTTCTGCAAACTACACTAGCCTGCCTTTACAGTATCACTGCAACTGCGCACTTTCCGATTGGTGACGCTGCAGTGGATGCTGTGAGTCAGCGGTTTGACTGACACACGACTCTGTCAGCCTGTCAGCTGCCGCCTTATCTTTGGAATGACCTATCACAGCGTTGATAGGCGTGTCCATAGACAGCCAGGCAGGTTAAAATAGTTTATTTCCAATTAAGTAATGTTGCATTCAAAAAAGCGAGACAAAATCTTTAATTTGCAACGTAAAGCGGGACAGGTTGTCACTCCACAAGGAGACGATATGATAACACACTGCACAAACTCCACGTCATTCTGACAGGTTTTCTTATGCGCGCAGATATTCAGAAGGTAAACAAAGGAAAGAGATAAGAGAAACATCTATTAAATAGCTTGCATACATCCACCCTGACACACACACACACACACGTGTCCCACATGGCCAGTTACAGCTGCAGTCGTCTTCTTACAACTGACAGGCGAATGTCTGGGAGCTCAGGCTGCTGAAGTGCACACATGCTGCTCAGTGTGCAGAAAATTAAATCATCATGCTACTTCCTCATCGGCCTTTCAACCATTCCTCTGAAGACATTGTGTTGCGTCTTTGCTCCGATAATTGTGAAACGTTGTGGAAACGTTAAAGCACTGCAGAATGGAGGCATGTATTCTTTAATTTGATACTGTAATCACACTTAAACCTCCCCCATTACGTGAGAAGAAACAATAAAAAAAGGGAATTCATAGTTTCATATTTGACAAAGATTAAAATCTGAGAAGAATAGCAGGAGAGGCCAGCTGCTAGTGTAGTTAAAAAGATTTTTGGAACCTTTTAGGGAAGAGAAAGACCAAAAAGAGACAAATAAATCATAACGTAAAAAAAACCGTGTTGCCCCTGTGGCCTGTTTTAGTCCCACACTGTACCCGCAGCTGTTTGTTGTAGTTTTCCGCACTGGGTTTGGTAGAACGTGCCATTTCTGCTCGATTTGACGGCAAATGTTTACTGATGCTAAATGTAAAGGCTTTTAAAGAATAAATGTGTTTGGCTGCTCTTAAAACAGAGCAGGTATTTTACACAGTGCTAACACCCATTACCTCAGTACTGCTGCCAAATGGGTTTACAGATTCTGTGTTTCCAGCAGCGTAATTGCAGTCTACATCTGGCAGCTGCCAGGATTGCAAACAGTAATAAGAGAGATAAAAAAAAAACTGTTTAATGACTAGGATAGTATGGACGGCACGGTGTGTCAGTGGTAAAGGATGTAGGCATTTTTATAATACACGGACGTGTGGTGAAATGCATGCTGCAGGGAACGGGGCTTTTAGGTCAAAGTTGGAGCAGGCACTGGTTGTTAATATTCATAGTAGAAGTCTCTGCATCTCTCACTGACGGCAGCTTCTATTTTTCAAAATTGGATTTTGTTATTGTGAATTATAAAACTATACATTGGGCAAAGTATATATAAAATAATCAATTTAACCAAAAATGTTTGGGAGTCACTGCAGTATTTCTGCAGATACACAAGGGTTGATAAAAATAAGAACAGAGAATTCCTGTCTTTGAAGTCACACTGCCCTCTGCTGTACCAGTCTTAGCCGTTTGTAGTTCTGTCGCAGAAAAAAGGTTATAAAAGATACAAGGTGAACTAAAAGCAAATTTTGCTTTGACTACACCTCAGGCTATGAGAACGTATGCAATATAAGTTTACAGGCATAACATTCCATTCCTTGGTCCGTGATTTCACTTCCTGCTTCGGCAGCATTAAAACCAGGACCTCTGCCCTCTATTCATAAAAGAACTGCAGTGACACGGAGCCTGACATCATACAGTCCAGCCTTACTACCTGCCTCAACGGAGCCTGACATCATACAGTCCAGCCCCAGTCCTACTACCTGCCTCGCCTTGGTGATCCTAGAGCTTGCAGCTAACACTACAGCTATTGTTTATAGTAGCTATAAAGTATTCTACCTAAATTTATCAGAAACCTCTTCACACCTACTTTAGAGTGCGTTTTTGTAATTGACAGCAAAGTCTCTCTGTATTCTAGGTCAGGGACATCTGTGACGTCCACCACTGCTGATGAAAGTCACGGACGTGCATTCATCAACGGCGGCCTTGGTAGCTTACCATACCTTAAAGTGGATTATTCAAAGCCAAGCAGCTGCATTTGACCTCAAGGATGTTAAAGCCGTGATAAGTGACAGCTTGTGGTGATTTATGGGCGTAATACTCCTGCTTAGTGGGTAAACACACATGGGTCACTGTGAGTGAAAACAAACCCGAGCGTGCACAAGTATTCAGAAATCACAAACACGCGCACACGCTGACCTTATCCACTGACGGCAGCAGACGCCTTCATACACACGTTAGAAATATTACCACTTTAAGTAATCGCAACTGGATTTAGCGTAGGAAATGTCACACTGTAGTAACGAGGTTAATGACTGGGGGAGTGAGGGGAGGGGCTACGAAGACTTTAGGAGGCACACATGGATCAACAGGTTTTTTTAGAGGGCAGTCAACCTTCAGATTTTGCAGAATTTCAATGCTCCATTCAACGTCATACAATTAAACAGGTCTGATTTCCTGGAAAATTCACAAACTTCATGTCAGTCTGTTTTAAGTTTCAGACTCCTGATCAATATGTTTACCATTTTTGGATTTTTTTCTAAATGACTGTTACTCTTGATAAATCTAAATCTGGTCGCTCCTCTCCGCTCCGGTAAATCTAATAACAGGACTGTATCTCCATCTTTGAAATCCCCAGATTCTTTCTTTTCATATTTATGAATTGCCTTTCAAGCCAGATCAACAGTCTCATGGGTAATGCACTTTTCAACAACCTTGCAAGATGACTTTTCTAGTGGCTTCAGAGTACAGAGGCGGGTATTATCCTGTGAACTCCGAGGTGAAGGTAAGGGTTTTTCCTCAACTTCTTTAAAAGCCGCTGGGATTTTCTGCCAGGACAATTGTTGATAAAGTAAATTTGATTTATGGTTTTGTCCTTGCGGAGAACTTACCAACGTGAATAAGCCTGATGTTTTTGGGTTGATAAACGAACGCTGAAAAGTATATTAAATGTTTGTGTTCAGTCTTTTACTATAAGGAGAAAATGTGCCAAAAACAACACCCTGTGGGCAGATAAGCACATTCGTTTTCTCACATATCTCTAAACAAAAAAACAAAACAAAAAATGTAAGTGTTCAAATACACTGGCCATTAATTTCTACATTTTTAAGCATCAAAAAACCTAGTTTTTATTATGCTACCAAGGTAATGACGATCTGCTTCATTTGCAGCAACATGTTCACATAATCAAACAGTATCACGGCGCAGTAAAACTCCTTTCTTCCCATCAGCCTTCTGTGATTACCCCAGTTGTTATTATGCAACTAAATTGTGAGGCAGCAGCTTTGAACAAACCAGCCGGTGTGCTCTATAAATACAAGCCCTCGGCATTATTGTTGAAACAACAAGGATAAGGAATATAATAGTGACATACTGCAGACACGGAGGATGTTTACTCTCCAAACTGTGAACCGCAGCTCCATCAGAGGGCAGCACAGTCAAAGGCAGCAGCTGCTGATCAGAGCATCGCGCTCTTTTAAGGTGAGGGATAATAAACCTGGCCTCAAACACAACAAAGAAAATATATTAATAAAAAGAAGATTTATGTATCAAGAATGAAAGAGTCTACTTTAGGTGGAGGAAAACATTAATATCTGACTGTAAGAAGGTGTCACTGACTTTGTCGTCTAATTATTGGGCTGAAAAACGGATAAGTATCTAAAATCTATTGTAATTAAAATGTGAAATAAAAAATATATAAAACTCTGGTGTTATTTTGGGAAACATTTTTTTAATAGTGAGGATTTCTCATCATTAAAATCTGTCCTCTGAGATCCCCCTTGTGTTGCAATGAAATCTTTAGAGAGGGAGGAAAGGTCGATTCCCATTGTGTTTTTTTTCCTATCTATCTCATTATCTATCTATCTGTCTTAATATCATACTTTTTTTCTCCCTCCCTCAGTGCTGTATGTGGGTGCGAAATAAAAAAATAAAAACAGAAAAAAATACAAAAAGGGACATTGTGCAACTGCATTCTTGGAAGAAAAAAAAAATAAAACCGACTGAGACGCAAACCACAGAAGTGTAAGGGAAGATGGATGCTGCACTTTCTCAAACGCTCCTCCATATTCAGCTTAGCGACTAAGAATGAGAGCTTGGGTTTTACGTAACCAAAGCTTCTCAGCAAACACTTAATTACAAATGGGGATTAGAGAGCAACAGCATTATGTTCCAGCAGTGGAAGGAAAAAAAAAAAAAAAAAAGGAAACAATCTCATGGTTTATAAAGTGCAGGCGGATCTCCTGTCCTCTGGGGTGGACGTCGTCAAACACATTTCAACCATATTGTTGACATTAATGCTAAACGCCCACTAAACAGGTTCCATTACACTCTGTGTAAACATGTTGCCACTCCATCATCAGCCTCTCCGTGCTCCAGTCATTTGTATTGGTAGAGTTGAGTTGTGGCACAGCCCAGAAGGATGGCTGCCAACTCACCGTGAGCCTGTCTCCACCAAACATCACTTTTAATTGCATGAAACTATAATTTCTCCATCTGCAGGACAGGAGGAGACACCTCACTGGTTGGCCTACGTGTTTGTTTACAAAATGACCTCAGCTGGCATCCTCAAGAATGAAAATGGAATCAACATGACTTCCAATCACTCAAAAACATCACAGTCTCCGAGGAGGCGAAATACAGAAATATGAAAAGGTGAAAGAATTAACGGGAATGGATTTCAGGAGGGAGAAGAATAACCTTGCCTGTCCCTGGCA